TTAAGCAAAGAAAAAACTCATCGGTTCTGCGATTATTGCTCAATTCGGTTATAAAATCAATATTCAACATACAAATACTAGGTAAATAGCTCATAAATTTGTAAGCTAGTTTTCAGTTATCAGTTAGAAGTCTGAGACACAAAGTTTTTATTACTGTAGGTATCAACATTTTGCAAGCGTTTACAGTGCTAACAGAATTTTTAGTGCATTACTTTGCTGCTCAGCGAAAGATAACTAATTAATTTATCAGGATATTTATGTTGTAAACAGATATGGAATAATTGTAGAATTTGAATCTTAAAACAATTGAGTGTTTCATAAAAATGCATTTAAGTAATCATATTGTTAGTTACAAAATATGTTTAAAATTTGCTGTTATTTTATTAAAATGCTAATCTAAGGATATTCTTTAAATTTTTTTTGAATGAAAATCATTAGACCTTTATACAAACAACTAAATCTTATTATCATGGTATTTCATAATACAGTAATATAAGCATACTGTATAATCGCCTGTTTACATTTAAATATTTAATTACAATGTAAATAATTTTAGGGTCAAAAATCTACTTAAGTGGATTTCGAATTTATAAAGCATCTTTATTACTTCCATATATATAATCAAGTATCTAAATTACATATTTGATTTACTTGATTTTAAATCTATCTATTATTTTTTATGATGGTTACGGCATAATTTTCGAAGTGCTATAGGTAGGTTTCTAAATCCTCATCATCATTCATTGTTTTATTGCCGTTACTAATATCTATTTTTTCATTGATATTACTATCATCAATATCACAATCATCATTGCCGATGTCTATATTACCATTATCTTTACTAATACTATTATTATCTTCTTCACCAATACCATCGTTATTTTCTTCACCAATATCATTATTATCTTCTTCACCAATACCTCTATCTTCATCGTCGTCAATATCTCTATCATCATAATTATCAATATCTCTATCATTATCATCACCGATATCTCTATCATCTTCAATATCTCTATCATCATCATCACCGATATCTCTATCATCTTTATATTCTCATCTTTTTTACCAACTCTGCTGCTAAATCAGCAGAGTCAAAATCAAATACATCTTGACCTTCA